GTCTAAAATACCTTTTCTCCAATTTTTTAAGAGCTCAAGTATAATTCATGAATCTAAAAATTAATGTTATAGAAACGTGCAGGGCAATTCCAAAACAACTCTAAAAGACAGCTGAGACTATTGTGAGCTAAATTATCTGAAAACACAAATCAAAACTAATTCATCACCTAAATACAAGTGAAAAAAGATTGACACCAAGAAAAGACAGGTACAAGAATACTATTGGAATAAAATTTTAACAGTTTTTTGGCTTAAATAATAGGAAATCACTGTTAAATTTCCAGATTTAGGTAACTATACTACTGCTATTATGCCTAGGAAATATACAATAAAGCTTCAATGGTAAAAGCCCAACATCTCCCAATTTAATCTCAATGGGCTCAAAACAAACCAATTCTCTTTCTCTCTCTCTGACATACACACCCCCTCTTGCAAGTGGAACAAATTTGAAAACAGTTGGTAAATCTGAGTAGAGTTTGTAAACTTTGTTTTACTACACCTGCAACTATTCTTTAAGTTGAAATTATATACAATAAAAAGTGGAGCCTGGCAAGATGACAACAGAATGAAGACACTGGGTTCACCTCCTCCACATAATCACAACTAAACTGCTGCAGAACAAAGTCAACAACCCCCAAAAGATACATGGACAACTATAGCACCTATCAGGAACAACGGTCTCAAAGAAAAGGGTAGGAAAACTTTAAAAGAACTGTGTTTATGGGCAGTGATATCGGGCAGTAAAACCCAGGAGAGGGAGAGGTGGCAGCTGTGTGTATCATCTCAATAACTGCTGATGATGGCACATACTATCCACATCAGGGACTTTGGAGACCCAGCACTGCACTGCTTAAGGGAATGCAAAGAACTGGTGCCAGGACAGAGGATATACTGTGGAGAACTAAAGGAGCAGGGGTGCAGAGTGATTACTGGCATGAGCCTGAAGCTCTCGATACAGAAAAGTTGGAGTTTGAATTGGCAGGGAAAATCTGGTTGGATTACCTACGTCTCTTCATAGAAGTAGCTACTACTTGCAGCCTGAAGCTGTGCCATTTAAAACACCTGCCACTCCTCAACCCAGGGATATAACTGAGACAACAAGTGGACATTTTTATTAAGCACTTATTAATGACAGGAGCAAACATCCAATTGGAAAAGAAAAGAGAACAACTCCCAGCTTGTGACCCAATCTCAAATACAAGCTGTGCACAGTGCTCAAACATAATCTACTGGGTGGAAGCTGACACAGATTATGTGAGACACAAAGAATAAGGGGCTGGCCCAGAGAAGCACAGTGGATCATCACCACACAACTGATAACCACAGTACAGCAGAATGCTTGAATTTCTGATGCTCACTGGATATGATCCTTTGGTGTCCCACCACCTCAGTTTCTTTCTACCCATTACCCTTTGCAGAAAACAATTCTCCAATCACTTCAACAGATACAGGGGAAGCAATGTGAAAATCTATCCCTATTACAATCCATAGAAATAAAAATGAAGAGACAGAAGAACATATCATAAATGCTGGAGCAAAACAATTCTGAGTGAAGTCTCAATCCAGCAGAATTATGGAATATACCTGAAGAGGAGTTCAAGGTAACAGTATGACAATACACATGGAACTCAAAAAAACAAAAACAAAACAAAACAAAAAAAACAAAAACCCCAACAATGGATGCTATAAAACAGAAACAGAATAAAGACTGAAAAAATACATGAGACAGTAACAATCAGAACTAATGGATCTAAAAAGCATTATAGCCAAATTAAAAAATAAAAGGCCTCAAAGCAGACAAATGCAAGCAATGCAGAGAATCAGAGAGCTTAAAAGTAATGTTGGAGAATTCCAGAAGGAGAAAAGAAAAAGAAATGCATCTCAAGAGAAAATTTAATTAAGGAAATAATTGCTGAGCATCATCTCAATCTGGGAACCAAATCAGACACTGTGATACAAGAAGCCCAAAGAGTTTCAAAGAAAATAATACCAGACAGACTCCAAGACACATCATAATAAAGTCACTGAAAGTGACTGTAATAACAGAATATTAAACATCTTGAGGAAAAGAAAGTAACCTAATAAGGAATACCAGACTGTCTGAGGACTTTTCAGTAGAAATCGTAGCGGCAAACAGGGAAGAGCAGGAGATATGTAAAGTACTTGAAGAAATCAAGTCCTTATAGACTCCTTTACCCTGTGAGATTAACATTCAAGACTGAAGAGTAAGGGGCTTTACTGAAAAGCAAAACCTGAAAGAATGTGTTAACACCAAGTGCTGAAGGAATTATTACAAAGCAACAAAACAACAAATAAGTAGCAGCAGACACCCTAATTATACAATTTGGAAGAGGAGAGTAACAAAGTAGCCTGTCAGGACAAGCTTGACACCAGAGTTTGAGATCAGACCTGTCAATGTGCAGCATAAATAGTCTTGTCATATAGTAACCTCAGCAAAGCCTTCAAACAAAAATCAATAGAAGTAACACATAAGGCAGTGGACAGTGGACATGGAATTTAAACAAAATACAAAGATGTAAAAAAAAAAAAAAAAAAGGAAAAGGTTAAAAGAATATGGCAGTGATCATTTATATGTCAATAATCACTTTAAATATAACTGACTTGAATTCACCAGTCAAAAGTTATAGTAGAGTGGTTGAGTGAATTTTAAAACAAGGTCGAACGTTCTACTGTTTACAAGAAACCCCTTTGCCTTACCAGCAAGGACTAACAAAGGCTTAAGAGTTAAAAGCTGGAAGGCAATCTGACAAGTCAATGGCAATCAAAAAGTCAGGAACAGCTATGCTTAGAGAAGATAAATAGACTTATAATTTAAAAAGGTAATAAGAGATACAAACAGACACCAAACAACCTAATACAACAAGAAGAAATAACAGTACAAATTATATGACGGAGTACCAGGATACATAAACCAATTACTAACAAAAGTAAAAAGACTGAAAACAATGCAATACTACTAGGGGTTTTAACACTCCACTTACAACAATGGACAGATTTTAGGGCCATAAGGCCCTAAAAGCTAAAAAAAATCTATTAAAAGGGGGGGAATTATAAATGCGTAGAGATGAAAGAGTATGGTGCATAATAGCTACCAAACAAAAGGAAATTAAGACAAATCAAGAAACAACTTGAAACTAATAAAGTGAGTACATAAGCTACCAGAATCTATGGGATGCAGCAAAAATGGTCTTAAGAAAGGAAAGGTAATTGCAATGAAGGCCCACGTTAAGAAGCAAACAAAACAACACTCAAACAATCTAATGGTTAAGCAACCTGAAAAAGAGAAATAAAGAAAGATACAAAGTCAGTAAAAGGGAGGAAAAAATGAGTGGAAATAAAACAAAATAGACATAAGACTACACAAAAATCAATAAAACAGACAAGAATCTAGCTAGAATAACAAAAAAGAGAGAAAAAACTTTAGTAAGCAGAATCAGAAATGAAAGAGAAGAAAACACCATAGACAACATAGATACACAAGGAATCATAAGAGAGTATTATGAACAACTATACACCAGTAAATTAGATAAACTTGAAGGACAAATTTCTAAATTCATACAATTCACCAAAACTAAACTAAGAAATGTGGTATATTCACCCACTGAAGTAGAATTCAGTCACAAGGAAAGATGAAATACTGCCATTTACAGCAAAATGGAGGTAGTTTGAAGTAATTCTGTGCAGTAAAGCAAGTTAGAATACTGGACATTTACATAATGGACAATTTGACCAAGTAAAATACTCTTGGAGGACATTAATCAACTTAGTGAGGGCTCTAAGGTCAAGAGGGAGAGAAAGGGACAAGGGGATATGAGGGATTGTGATAGGGAAAAAAAGTTAACAATCAAAAGTTAGCAAAGCAATAAAGCAGACCTGTGACCAAAATTAGTGAAACTAACACACAAAAAGCAATAAAATGTAGACTGTGAATGCCCTGTATTTCTTAATAAGCAGTGAGCAGTTTTAATAAAAGAGCAAATTAATAGAAACATATTGAAGTCAATCTTGGCAATATAATATGTAGCTAGGACTATTGATAATAGTGGGAATGATATTTTTATGGGTCATTAGTTAGGAGTTAGATTAGTCTTCATCACAGGATACATGCCTAATTCAGAGAACAGTTAATGATAATATAAGAAATACTGCATCTCACACTTAGCAGACAATTATTATATATGGGGAAACTATTTTAGAATAAGTTTACTAAAAATACCATATCTTTAAGTGGGCTTGATAAAACTAGCAGTCAGCATGGAAAATACGTGTCAGTTAAAACAATGGACACCTAACTAATGAATTACCAATATGTAGATAAAAACCAAATGAATGCAATTTTAAGACCATAAAATTCTTACAGGTTTGTATACAACCAAGTGTCAATATAGGTGTTAGAATTGAAGGCACAAAAGTACCACTAAAAAGATCTAATACAAATAAAGTACAACTTCAATGACAAGCATATTTAGGTTTCTAATGCTTAATACTATCAAATAAATGAATATTGAAAATATGGAAGACAGAAAGTTATTTAGTCAGGATGCTACAATTCAAATTTCAGATCTTTCTGCATGCGGTTAGACAGCATACCACCATTTACAAAGACACTGAAAACTTAATGTTTCCAAGACTACCAATGGTCAGTTTAATTGCACTGTTAGTATCTTTGAGAGATATGAAATTAATAATGCAGAATGAGAAAAATCAGACAAATGGGAAGCTTACAAACAGAAAAAAATCACTTTGAGTTTTTGTAGAGAATTAACACATTCACCTAGAATTTTATGCTGAATGTAAAACTTCTATCCCAAATAAACAAAATGCAATGAAACAGAAAGTTTGCCTTCAGAAAATTAAAGAGCTAGTTATATTTACTGAACGACAAAAGGCAGCCTAAGTTCTCACTAACATCAAGTCTATTATTTTTAAAAATTACAGATCTTGAAAAAAATATAACCATCTTTATAAATATTACTTACCTTTTTATCTTCTTTCACTTTGTGGGTTTTCTTCTTCATTTTTTTATCATCTAACTCCTGGTCAGAAGTGATTGCAGGATTATCAATACCACCTTTCCAAGTTTCAACAGGAGAAAGAAGTGGATCTTCTTCACTTCCGCGATGTCTTCCCTTTCTTTTTGTTTTAGAAGTGGTGAAAGCCTCATCGTCACTTGCATCTGAATGTGTTCTTCTATAGTATAACTTGGCTTTACTAAACAGGGTTTTAGATTTATATTTGTATTTTGAAGGTCTCCGTTCCCCATGACTCTTTGAGGTTCTATCAGAAAATCCATTTTCTTCATCTCCTTGGGTGTTATTTACAAATGAGTTTCGAATTTTAATAATGCGATTCTGACTATCATCTGGGACAACATATATCTCATCAGAATAGCCCTTCTGTTTGAAAATTGTGTCGATGGGTTCCGCATAGTTATCTGAAGGATCCATATCTTCAGGATGTGCCAAAGGCACCCGGGAAGTCTGTTTTCTTGGATTTTTACCAATACCAGCTTCAATTGTCTTTAACAGGTTTGGATCCAGTTTTTTCACATTTGTCCTAGGTACAACTGGTTTAGGTTTAATAGGTGGAGGCACTTTATGGTTGCGTTCATGGTCATGACAGTTTGGGGTACTATGAATAGGATATTCATTTCCTTCCAAATCTAATCTATACCTGGAACGGTCACTAGGAGTTGGAAGCAACTGCACATCATCCCCAATTGGACTATATGGAGGTGGTGCTTCTGTATCATCATCTGAATCAGGGTAGTTGTTATAGGGAAAACAATCTCTAGGAGACGGCAGAAAAACATCCTCACTTTGATGGGTTGATTCCCTTGTATTGTCAGACAAATAGGAATTTTCTATCATATTTTTTTTCTCTAGAACGTCACTGAAAAATAACGTAAAGACCTCGGTTTGCCGATGATACTGAGATAAAGAATACAAAGCTGTAAATTTAGCTGTGATCTCAGTTGCAATGTGTTCTCCTTCAGTCATTAACTCCTTGATGGCCTCATTTTCAAAAAAATCTGCTTGGCTATCAGTAACAGCCACTAGCTGTACAGGAATGGTGTCCTGAACTTCTGACAGAAATGCTCGAAGCATTCCCATTGATGCTTTCCGTTTTGCAGAATAAACCAATATATACCCATGAACCAGTTCATCTTTCCTTACCCCAATTGAGGAATGATATGACAATATTGTGATCTGTATTCGTCTCCTCTTTTCACCAATGATTTTATCAAGCATTAGGGAATTATTCTGTCCAGCTTGAGCAGCACTACAGGAATGAGAATCAAGGAAGGGTGAAAGAATAAGATCCACACTAAATGGATCACCACACATAGCACACATGACAATTCTCAAGTCAGCTTCTGCTACATCCTTATTGATGGGTACCGGGCTTACCACATCTAAATTGTGTTTAACTGATTCCAACACTCCTCTTAGAGCTTGCTTTATTTGGGTTTCATTAAATTTACGAGGATATGTACCAGTAGGTACATCTACAAAAGGACATTGTAACTTATTTGCCAACTGTTGCCCTTGATGCCTGAGTATTGGAAGATTCTTACTAATAGAATCTCTCTGATTAGCCAGAATTAATGTAAATGGTAGATTAGCCATGTATTTATCTTTTCTGATCTGAGACGCTTCAGTTCTTATTTTTCCAATAAATTCCCCAATAAAATTCAGTGACTCGATGGAATTAAAAACACAGAAGCACCCATGTGGTTTAAAGGCGGCAGTCCATAACTGACTTAAAAGGTAAGGCGACTTGGCATCAACTGGCCGAAGATCAAGTTCATAAATTTTTCCATCTAAGGCATACTCATCATCAGTGGATTGTGTCCTTATCTCATTTGCTAGTTCTTGGGCAAGGCCATCCTTCCCTAAAATGAAAAGGTTAACTTTATCTATATTGGTACTATCATGATACAACCGTAGGCGACCATGATCCAACTGCAAAAGACTACTGGCAAGTAACTGCTCCACTTTAATGTCTGTACAATTTTGGCCACTAAGACAGGTTTCTTTAGTGGGATGATAAACAAACCCTATATGCTTAAGCAGAAGAGACTCCCTGTCAGGTGCAAGTTTCTGTAAAGCTTTATATCTAGGTTCTTCACTCAAAACAGTGTGAATTTCACTCATTTTATCCGAACTAGGTGTTGCATTAAGATCTAAATCATAAAAAAGTTCAGAATGTTCAAAAAGCATTTCCTGAAACTCTTCTTTGGCTTTTTCTACTATTTCTCGCTGATGCCTACCATACACCTCTTTGCTATCAGCCTCAGTGATGTATTTGAAGGCTTCATCCTCCATAACAAAGCACATGACTTCCTCCCATGGCTGCCCAGGTGAAATGAACTGAATTTTTTCCAAAGTCTTTTTAAATTTTTCCTTCATTTCTACCCTCCTCTTCTCTGATATTAGATGTTGCACATGGTTCTGATAGACTTTTTCAGCTTCTAAAGTGCTCAGAAGGTCAAATGGGATTCGTCTATCATTAATTTTGTCTATATGGTCAGTTTCATCCCAAGGGGTTTTTTCCAGCACCACAAAACATAACTGAAATTCTGCTCTCTTTTCCATTAACTTCAAAGCTTCTGACCAATTCAAATGTTCAATCTCTTCCAGATTTGGCAAAAGAGTGTTAAAAGCTCTTGGTAAAGTATTGATATATTCTTCTCTCCTTTTTCTTATATGTTCCTGTTTAAGTTGTTCTATATGTTTTGAGAATGTATTTCTGGCCTTTCTTGTTCCTTCTAAATTGATGTATTCTTCATAATCAGGATGATTTTTCAATTTATTACTAACAGTTTTCCAAGTTGCATGATAATCTCTCACAGTCTGCACAAGTTTTTCAAACTTATCTGTTGCTGTGACAACAAGTTGTCTCTGTGTTTTATAAGCATCCAAATAGGGAATAATTTTAGGCTTGCCACGAGTTTTATCCAACATTTGTACCAGCGCAGTGAAACATGTCTCAATGTTGACATTAAATCGTGCTGATGTTTCCACTACAAGAAGGTTCTTTTTGTTTGAAGCAAATGCCTGAACTTCTCTAAGATAATGCTCCACACATTCATCACATTTAGTGGCTGCTATTATTACAGGTTTTTTTGATTTTGATAGTTGGACAAAAAGGTTATTCACAAATTTAAGCTGATCATCAAACTTCCTATTGCATCCCTGACTTACGTCAATACACAGTAAAAATCCATCTACATTGAGCTTGCCTTCAGGCATTTGCTTTTGTTCAAAGTCTTGCTCCAAGCCTAGCTGATCAGTGCAAATGTACATTAATTTTTCTGCTGACTGCAATTTAGAGGCAGCTGCACGTTTTATATATGGTTGCAAATTTGTACTCCGATGAGGCAAGAAAGTCTGGTCATCAATGAACTCTGTTTGTTCAATGACATGAATTTTGCATTCTACTCCATCTTCACCATTTTGTATTATGTCACCCCAGTATAAAAAGTGATCATTGTTAACTACTCGTCCTCCAAAGTCAATGGTGCTAAGCACAGAAGTATGCTCTGGATAATATTCATCTGCTTTTGAACGCACAAATCTATTGCACAGACAAGACTTTCCAACTCCACAGTTACCTTTGTCTTTTTCAGTCCCAGAGAGTCCAACTACACTGATGGTATAAGATGGGGGACGAGGTTCTTTGTTTTTTGCCATCATAACTCTCTTCTCATGTCTCTACATTCATAAAGGTAACCAGATATACTTCTCATTCTGAAAATAAAATTATCTCAAAATACAGATTCTGTATTTCAGAACTATATTTGGTTTTTTGTACTCCTCTCATTTCTGTGTAGAAAGGTCTTCAAAATCATACAGATCATCTTCCTAGAAAGAGCAGAAAAAGGATAAATCTTAGTTATGAATTTCACACATCAAGTTGTCCATAGTAAAGATGTTCATAACAAAGCACCCTGCAGGTTAGTAACAATGTTATATATACTTTAAGAAGTCACCATAAAGAGAGTATGCAAGATGACCTCAAAAGTTAAGGCAAATCTAATAATAAAAGTAACTAAACATAAAATTGAATGTAGTGTCTCATGAATTTGAAAACAGGCTTCTTTTAACCAATGCACATTTGTACCTATTCCTTCCTATGTGCTTTAGGAAACAAGCAGTCCTTTCTCCTTCCTCAATTTTCCTGCCTTTGGTATCCAGACACTATATAAATTTTACTAGTTGCCATTAACAACTCCCTCAAAATTTATAATAACATTTCTAATACATGCTTCCCCAAAACTTGTTCCTTAAAATGGAATTTCATATGAATTTAGTAAGATCTGACAATTAAAAAAATTTTTCAGAAAGTTTCAACATACTCCTGTTAAATTCTTTCAACCTGTATGCCCAAAACAATTACGCATACTCAAATTCTTACACAGGGAAATAAAATGGAAAGTTAATACAAATAATGATGGTACTTACATAGAGCAATTGTTTCTCAAACTAAGGTAAAGGATCAATTTTTATTTTATATCTTCAGGTTCACTTTTGTAAAATACAATAAATGAAAACTTAAAAACCTCAAGAGACTTTAGATATGAGACATAAAATTTGTCCAATTGTTTCTTCTACATTTATTTCCTCTCCTAGTACTTACAAAGAGCTCAAGGGTCACATTCTGATAGTGCTAAGAGTTGTATTAGGAGTATATATTTGAGACAGTCTCAGAAATATTTGATATATCAACAACAATAAACAATTTGTAAGAATTGCACTTAATTTTGGTTATTTATGTGGAAGCAATGAGTCATCACCTCATAAAAGTTTTTAGATATTCTTCACACTCTTTTGAGGCTGAATTAAAAGTAATATATCATTTCCACCACCTCAAAATTTCACCAGACAGGGGAAATATCCAGTCATGTATATCAACATACATAAGAATTATCTTCAATCCAGGCAAAATAAAAAAATATAAAGAATATTAAGAAAAAAGTAAAACAATTACTACCTGTCCCAAATACTAGGCTTCTTCTCCTCAATTGCAGTTAAGCATCTATTTAGATTATTCTGCACATTTGCTATCCTAACAATAGAGAAACTTCTTGTAATTTAAATTTTTGACTAATATTTCTGGTAAAATAATATTTAAAAATAAAGTTCACTTATTCTTATAGCCTAGAAGTTTATTCCATCAGCTATGAATTTTAAGATCAGCCATCTGATATTCAAACAACTTATTAGGTTCACTTTTATAATAAACAAGACATTACTATGTTGAAGCAGCAACACAAGTAGAAAACATGAGCAGATACAACTGATCTCAAATCTGACTTCTATTATTTATTAGTTCATGACAATGGTAAAGCCCTAAACCTTGAGACATAATTTCCCCACTTAAAATGGGGTCACATATTTACACTAATTTAGAAACTATTTTTAAATGTTAATTACATGGCTTGCAAACAAAAGGTGTTTTATAAATATTAGCTGTTTCTTCTGGTTCTTGGAACCATAGAAACCATTGAAAATTTATGAAAAATGCCATGATTAAACTTGTGACTTACAAATCTTTATCTAGCAGCAGTATATACTGTAACTTGAAGTAAAAGTAACAAGGATAGTCCTACCCAATAATACTAACTTTTTTATCAAGTAAGAATTGTAATCTGGTCAAAGAGAGTATTTGCCATCTTACACAAGTTTAATATTCTTTACCTAAACAGTAAAACTGTGTGACAGAACAATTGGACAACATAATTTACAGATATTTACCAAAAATATCTAAATATATATACAGAATTAAGGGTAATAAAGTTATACAGTGATAAAAATAGGATGATTCCACAACTTTGTGAAAATAGGATGATTCCACAAGGAAAAAACTGAAAACACAATAGAATATGTCTATTCCTCTTTATTGAAAAAAGCAAAAATCTGCAAATGATATACTTTAAAATGGGCATCAAAAGCAAACTGATCTAGTGATTATTTTGGGAATTTTTATGTTAAATAGAACAAGCACTAAACTACCAGTAGATCTTTATTAAATTCTTCATTAAACAAATATATATATGCCAAAAACAAAGCAATTCGAAGATGTGTAAGACTGTCTCCTGCCTTCTAGTTTGGGAAACACAAAGCTATTAATGGAAAACCAATAATTGAACATGCCAGCACAAAATGTACTTTAAAAGTTTCTGAAAGACAAGGGACTTAAACAAGGATGAGTGGAGGCATGAAGTCATCACCCCTTCACTAGTCATTGAAAGTGAGGCTTTTTATCTAATAGAGAAATAAAATCTACTACATTAAGGTTAAATGTAATACTTAGGCTTCAACACATCCTAATTAATTTGATAGTGGCAGTCGATGAATCATGAATATTAACGTTTAAATTAAAAAACAAGGTAGCTTTGCACGTTTATGGTTTTCTCACCAAATTCACAGTAAACTGCTAATTAGATACAGTGAAGAATATCCATATCCTTCTTTCTAACAATGCTCAGGCAAGCTAGCTGCTGTTAATTTTATTTTTTTTTTAATTTTTTTTATAGAGGCATGTTTATTTATTTATTTGTTTGTTTGTTTGTTTTGTTTATACATGCACTGGGTACAGTCAGAAGCACGGGAGGGTGAGAGAATTCACCAGAGCCAGAGCGGGGAGCAGAGCAGGCAGAAGGACCGAAGTACACTGCTGAGGGGAGCAGCGGGCCGCAGGAGAGGTCTGCGCAGATTGTGGGACTCTCCTCTGGTGGCCGGGGAGCAGCCGGGGATCGAACCGGCGCTGCAGAGGCCGCGGGCAGCTTCGCAACCCAGCGCTGCGCCACCGGGGAGGCCCTAGCTGCTGTTATTTTAAAGTCAGAGCTAAAGTCTTCGTTATGACTCAACATACAATGATTTTAAAACTATGATGGAAATTCTTTAACCATAGGTGGGAAAGAAGGATGTCAGGCAAATATTGCTCTTTCCATCTCTTTCATCATAGTAGTGCCTTCTTCATATATGATTTACAGGTTTACTTAACTCAAAACATTAAGTTTTAAAAAATTATTTTCAGATGTTAAAAGTTTGAGAAGCCCTAGACTAGGGGAAAAAGATCTCATGAGGCTGGTTGTAACAGGTTATAAGAGAATTTAATTTCAGATGCCTGGACAGTTATCCACTGGATGAACTATCCACTGGCCTCAATACGTAGTTCAAAACTGTCTTCTATTAACTAACCAAAGTAGTTTTTCTTCTGTGTAGAGAACCGAAGAATCCCTTTTCGGTCTTTGTGCTCTCGCTAATAAACTAACAAACAATCCCTAAAGTTATTTAACTTGAAAATCCCATTCAAGGGCCTCCCCAGTGGCGCAGCAGTTGAGCACTGAGCTGCAAAGCTGCCTGCAGCCTCTGCAGCACCGGTTCAATCCCCGGCCACGGGTGAGGGTCCCACATGGCCCGCAGACCTCTCCTGCCGCCCTCTGCTCCCCTCAGCAGTGTACTTCAGTCCTTCTGCCTGCTCTACTCTCTGCTCTGGCTCTGGTGAATTCTCTCACCCTACCGCGCTTCTGACTGTACACAGTGCTTGTATAAATAAATAGATCTTTAAAAAAAAAAAAAATCCCATTCAAATATGTTTAATAATATTATCTGGTTATGCTGACTCACAGTTTCATTCTGACATAACTTTACTTTCATATCATTTGTTTCTGTTTTCTCTTAATATCTTATATGCTTGAATTTTACTCATGAAGAAATCAAAGCACCAATGACCTCCTCAAAGATCACAGGATTAGAGGAGACTCCTGATACCCAATCCTTAATTTCTTAAACATTATTGCTGTTTTTAATAGCCAGTAGTGCAGTGCCATCTTGCCTTTAAGATTATCTTAGAAACTGCTATTCAAAAAAAATGTTTAGATTAAGCATTTTTACAGATATTAATGACAATGTATAACTGACACTGTGCTACAAATGTATGCTGAAATGAACTCGATCACTACAACTAAGTCTTCTAATGCATTTTTTACCTCAAATCATTCAAATACTACATGCTCTTTTAATGAAGTTTTAATAACATGAAGTGGTGCTCTGGGGGGGAAAAAAAAAAAGTTCCATAGAGACTCTAGGACACACAAAAAAACAATTGTTTTGTAATTCTGGATTTAAATATTTTTGTTTTGTACCTTTCCCAAAACTGTCACATTCATTTAAAGACAAGAAATTTTAAATTTTAGTTTCAAATTATACTGTCCAGAAATTTCTATTGGCTCTATCTTCAAAATATATCAATATATCCAAACTTTATCATTTTTCTCTATCTTTAGTACCATAACTGATCCCATCCACCATTACCTCTTGCTCTAGAGATTATTCCAATGTTTTCTAAAGTAATTCCCCTGCTACACTGTTTTTTCCCTTTCTTAGTCTGTTCACATCTGAGCAGCTAGAGAGTTTCTTTTAAAACACAAGTCAGAGCCTCCCATCCTTCTGTTCACAACTCTCCACTGGTTCCTTAAAGTAAAAGCCAAGTCCTTTCAAATGATTTACCACATGATCTGCCTTCTCCAATTATTATCCTCTGACCTACTCTTACACTCGTCTCCCCATTTTCATACTCCTTCATCCACACACTGAAAAAAACTGATTTGTTCCTCAACAGGCTAATTAAGTATGTTCCTGCCTTTGCTTTTATTTTTTCCATGCCCTCCCCAAATCCCCTTTTACTACTCCTTAATTCCTACCTTACTATACAACTTATTTATCATCTATCATAACCTATCCCTGCCTGTCCCTCTCCCCACCCCATTCCAGATTAAACACAAGAGCCAAAAGCACAAATATTTCATCAAAATATCCAAGAGCCTAGAACAGTGCCTCCCACATAGCAATTAGTAAATGCATGAATCCAAGTAAATATTAAAATCATAATGCCCTTAATTCTTAAAAAGAGAGGAAAAGCCTATTATGGCTACTAATGACAGAAATTATTCCTCTAAAACATTTTCTAAAGCAATTTATGGAGGAAATCTACATGTATTTCAAGGCCCCCAAAACATAATAAATATTAAATCATCAGAATATCATGAGAATGAAGGTTAACTATTATCTATGATAATGTACTGAGTTAAAATAATCATCTAAATTTCATGATTATGATCTCCTGACACTTCAAAAAAATAAATTCCAAATATGAAAGTGACTATAACCATAAGTACAGAGCTGATTAAAAATTTGGCTGCTTAAAGACCTAATTTTTTTAAATGACAAATATTTATTATAGGAAATTACATGTGCAAGACCTAATTACACAGAAGGAGCTCTGTAATTACATGTTTCATCTTCTTCAAGTCAAATAAATAAAATATCCCTCACATAAATAAATACTCAAGAGGGAAGACAGATCCAAGCTCAAAGATTGTCACATATTCCATAATCCTAGGTAAACTTGTCTAGAATAGTTTGAAACACATATATCAACTATATAGTAAAAGAGATATAAGGTATGATATTGATATATTATTTGTCTGAATGTGTTAATTCTTAATGACAAATTGATCAATGCTGTGAAAAATTAGAAGAGGAAACAAAAGTCATTTGAAAAGGAAGTGAGCATATTCATAGCACAAGTTTTGTGGACTTCTGACATCAGAACTAAGTAATTACACAATGTAATACCAGTAGAAGTCAGTTATATTCCATAATAATTTAACTTTGACCAAGGTTTCTACCACATAAGCAAGCAAACCTGACTGAAAGAAATAATAAAGTCATGATTCCTATGAATTAAGTCATTAGACACTATGATCAGTTAATCAAGAGAGAACCTATTTAAAATTTCAGTAATTTATGTAGTGACTAAATATGCTGGAAGTATGTCTTGGTAGGATTGGGATGGAGATTTTGTTGTCGTAGTTTTAAACCATATCCCAGGCACTCAATACAGTGCCTGACATACATACTAGGTGCTCCAACCTTTGATGACTAAACAAAAATCAATCTTCAGACTAAGATCCTAAAACATGAAGCAATCTTAAAGTCCTATTTGGAGTAACAAATTAAGAAAAATTATATACTGTTATGGTCTCATAAAATCTAGTGTAACAGATTTTTCTAATATAAAAAGTCCAGTTTTTTCCCTAAGACCTATAGTCTACTGATTAACACAAACTATGGGATTATGATTATTAATAGATCTGAAAGCTCAAAGAGAGTGCTTCCAGTTCAGTCCAATTTGGCATTACTCTGGGAGTTCTTTAAGCCCTACTCAGCAAAGGTAATTCTGCTTTTACCCATTTTTATCTTTGGATATTTTAAGCAATTATTGTTTGAAAAAAATTTCACTGCTTAAAATATTTGAAAACCAATGACTTAAACTATCCCCAAAAAGATTAACTGCCTACCTTATTATTGAGTCAGCACTTTCCTCTAACAAGAAGTCTCTGAGGCCTTGGTGTGAAAGCTATTCTAAACTCTTCCTAGTGTATTTCCTTACTTTGTGGTGGAAACAGAAGATCCAAAGGTCATCTCATTTTATCAATCTATATAAACAACCCCTAAGTACCTACTGTGCTTAGCTATCTACTTAGTTCTGATGTCAGAAGTCCACAAAACTTGTGCTATGAATATGCTCACTTCCTTTTCAAGGTCTGAGTTTTTTCTCCTCAACAGATGGCAAAATCACTTCATTTTCAGGTGACAGTATTACAGAAGACAAGTGAAAACTCAGCAATGAAATGAGACAATGCTAAGATCAGTAACAAATTTCAAGATCATAAAGTTTAGAAAATTATTTAAGAGATCATTTGATATAATACTTATTGGAAACAATGGAGGAATTATATATTTGGTTTTATTTATTTTTTTGTTTATTTAAAAAAATTTAAAAAGATTTATATAAGAACCCGGGTACAGGTCAGATGTGCAGGAGGGTGAGAGAATTCACCAAAGACAGAGCGGGGAACAGGCAGACTGAGCAAAACACACTGCTGAGGGGAGCAGCAGGCCAGACAGGAGAGGTCTGCCCCGTGTGGGCATCTCCGCGGCTGGCGGGTATCGAACCGGCACTGCAGAGGCTGCAGACAGCCTCACAGCGCTGCACTCAACCACCTGTGCCACCAGGGAGGCCCTTTACTTGGTTTTAATAAAGAGCAGAAATACTTTCAATTCCCCTTAAAATAAAAATAATCTATTATCTTAGTTCTAAAAGGTAATTCCAGAAACAACCACAAACTTTTGGATGAGAAAGAGTAGATGATCAAGGAAGGACATAAACTATACCCTAGGTACAAGTTTTTCCAAGGCTGTATGACAGTGCCAGATACAGTTAACAAGGATAGGTAGTAATGCCCACATACTTACTTCCTTACCACTCTATTACCTTTCTATTACTACTTTTCCCCCAAATCTAGACTTTTGGCCAAGAAGGTACAAACTGATGTTCTTACTTTTTAACCTTGTACTTCCTTCTCATCTGCCAATCCATCCAGCACTTCCCTGCTTTTGTTCCAGTCATTAACTGAACTAAATGTCTTTTTCCCACTTATGCCACCCCTGTGTAACCTCTAAGTGCTGACTGACTTCTTTATCTAAATTCCTTTAGGTCCATTTTTTCAATCAGTATGTAATGCTATGTATATGACTCTTCTATGATGAACTGCCATTTAACTATTCCTAAATTTTCCAGCTCTTCCCCTACCAAAGCTATGAACTCTTTTAATACAGTAATATCTTATACTTCCTTGTATCCCTCACAGTGTCTAGCTGCTAAATAAAATATTGGTCAGGGATAACAGAGCAGGTTAAATCAAATCTAATATGAAGTAAAAGGATGAAAATTCACTCCCAGGTAACAACTAATTCTAAGGAGTGAAACACAGACATGATCAAATACTAACAACCTATTTTATATGACTGCAAATCTAATGTATTGTGGACAATTAACCTCCAAAATACAGTGAAAAAAAGCAACCCTTGTTTAGTCTTTTATATTCAAAATCCTACTTGCAATGAAAAAGTCCTAATTCGTAAAAGATTCCTACAGAAGTCTGATATAAATACTTGTTCTGTTTTCTGCAGCATTTAGTACTTGTAACTACTAACTTCTTTATAGTTACTAATCTAATTAATGCTTGAGTTATACCCCCTCTAACTTATCTTGGTATTCCCAAGGCCAGGCACACAATAACACCAATCTAAATTAATGAGTAACAAATCAAAGGCTTTCATTTTTTTTTTAAAATTCAAGTATTTCCCAAGAATTCTTATATTTAAGTACAACTGAAGTACATTTAACAAACAAAAATAGCAGCTCCCCTGGTTTCAGAGGGTAGGTTGTCATATAGTAAGTCTCAAGACCTTAAGGAAAAATCCACTGAGGGGTCTAAGGAAGTTACAAAGTCAGTTGAAGTTCATACTTAAAATTCTTAACATGAACTATTTCTTGACTTCTAAATGTGTTTTTTTCCAAGTTTGATAAAATGACAACCTTCACTGAAACAAGTAAGAGATTGATAAGTCACCAAATGATTATCACTTTATGGAAGTTTCTTCACAGTTCTTTAAAAAACCAAATTCTCTTAGTATACTGTAAAGGTATTCTACAATCATCTTTTAGGAATACAGATACTATTACTAAAACAGCGCACTACACAATGCTTCTTGAATCAATTATATTATCTGCATTACTCTTGGTGTGCAAAGAAAGAAATCATGGCTCTAACAGCCTGAATAATTTTAAAAATAATATATATGTAAACCAAAGTTGTGGCAATTAAAACTTATTCTGTACCTATCAAGAAAACCTCTATTATGCCATTTCATATTTAAGAAGTGAATACTAAACATTTATCTCAATCCTGCTGTTGAAAAAGTAACAAGTTCAGTGGTCTTCATAAGGCAACTTTCTTCAATTTAAAAAAGTGAGTTACAAAACCATTACTGCAAGCTGTGTCACAATTTGAATTCCAAAAAGAATGCAAATGCAGTATTCTGTTCCTTTAAAAACCTTAACTTTAGAGGTCAAGATTATTTTTTCTAAAGTGTACTAAAATCTGTCTTTCAAACAGGAAAAGAGGAGGAGAAACGGTTTCAAAACATTTCGAGTAACCAGTGTGTGACCAAATTAAAACATTTTGCAATATAGCTTTTTAATCACCAAATTCAAGAAGGGGGAGGGATTCTATAAAACTGGTAATTCCAGCACTCTGTGACAATTTCTTTTATCAATATGTAACGCATCCCGTTCCCCAAAGCTTTTACAATTAATGTACAAAAAAGTAGTAAATCACGCTGACATGGGTTTAAAAATGCAGCCATACACATGACCAACAAACAGTCTCAGTCATCAGATCAATAGCATTATTTCTTGAAAGTTAAAAGCACAAGTATACCCAGCTTTTCCATCTTGTCTGTTAGTCACACAGTGCTCCAAGGCCTACCTAAGTTTTTGGTGATCCACCCTTGACACTCTTATCCTCTGCTCTACTACAGATACAAGAAATGTGGGTCAATTACAAATAATAATAAGCCAAAAATGAGACAGCAATGTAAAATGGAAGTAAAATCTTCATCTGAAAAGTGTCCAGGAAATGGTGTGTGTGTCTATCTATAGAGTCAGTAGATACATCTAAAAATACTAAATAATAAGAATACAGTTTTATCACATTAAAGTCAAATAAACTGGAAAGAAAACATATCCAGACACATAGACACATTTTACTAACATATCACTTACAATTTTTTTCTGACTAGTTGCACCTAAGTCAAAATTTTGTTAAAAGAATGACAAAAAAATGGGATTTAGAGAAATATTTTGAGTGCAAATAAATAACCCTCTACATTGGTTTTACCAATTACCCTCAAATTCAATATTGGTTTTGAATTTAGGTGAAGCCAGCAACCTCCTCCCCATCCAACACCTGTAGAAGGCAGCATAAGCCAAGACCAGCAGACACAGCCACGTATTTCACTGTTTTACAACTGAACATTAAAAAAAAAAAAAAGACATCGTTTCCAACCTATCACAAAGGAAAAAGCAAATTTTCGTCGGGGACAGAACTTCCTTAAAAATGCACGCACTCACCTCTGCCCATTGGGGTCTAAATTCAAAAAAAATTTAAATTCCCAAGCGTTAATACGCAAGGACTGAGACTAGATTTCTACCTTATGGTAAAAGTATCCGCCTCTCCCCCACAACTTTCTGGGAATTACTAAACGTCCTAACAGTCAGCCTTCACTTCCCCAGCACCTTTCGCCTCAGCTCCACCTCACTTGCATTTCTATTAACGCCGTGGAGGGAGGGTGCGAGTGTATTTGTGTGTGGGTAAGTGCGCGCGCGCTCCCGCGCGGCTCCCCACCCCCACCCCGATACTTTTCTTTAGTGGCCACGGAGCATCTAGAGGTTATTCTAGCGAAAGCTCAGTCTCCAAAGCTCACTCCAGGCGCAGACAACCCAAAGGACTCTGTGTTTTGGTTGTGCAGCGCAACTTCTCACCTCCCACCCGGGGCTTCGGCAGCAGATAGGAAACTGGGGCCGAGAACCACCCAAGGAGAGGGGGCGATCAGGGAAAAAAGTGAAAAGGGCCGACCCCCCCCGCACCCCCCTCCCGCAAGACGCTTAAGTTTGCAATCAAGCTCGTGCTTCCTCGAAGCTGCTTCCACTCCGTCTCCCCTTCCAGGTGGAAGTCGTTAGCAGCGGCACCCCGGCCGCGGCGCCGCCAGCTTCCTTCCCCACGCACCAGCCCAGGCCAGGGCAAGTGCGGGCGGCCGCCGGGCGCGGACGCCGGGCGGGGGCGGCGGATCCCCGGCCAGCACCAGGCCTCCGCCGACCCCGGCCCCGTCACCTGTGGAGAAAGCGCCCCCTCCCCCGGCCTCTCTGCCCTTCACGCCGACCGTGTCCCCCTCAGCGCTCCCCCCTCCGCGGCAGCCGCTCCCCAGCCGGCCTGTGAGGACCGAGCGCGGCGCCAGTGCCCCCTCCGAGCCGCGGGGCCCCAGCCCCTGGAACTGGTTACAACCGGCGGCGGCGGCGACCCAGCGGCGGGAGGGTCCCGGTCGGCGCGGGGCGAGCACGAGCGGGCAGGCCCGAGGAGCGGGGGTCGCGAGGTCCTACCTAACACCGTCGGTCTCCTCCGTCTCCTCCTCAGCGGCAGCGGCCCCGGCGGTGGCGGCGGCAGCGACATTCCTGGGGAGCGCTCCCGCCGCCGCCGCTCCTCCTCCACTCTCGGCTCGCCTCTCTTCCCCGGCGCGCTCACTGGGCGCCGCGTCCCTTCCCCACCTCCCTCCGCCCTCCCCAACACACACGCCCCGAAACCCTCAGCCCCACGGCTCCCGCCGCCGGGTAACCCACCCACCCGCCCTCCCCGCCACCGGCGGCGGCCCCGTCCCTCCCCCCTGCCCCTGCGCCCGCCACCGCGCCGGGCTCAGTAATGGCGGCCACTCGGGCTCCCTCGCGCTGACGGATCTCGCTCCCTCTCTCCCGAACTTTACCTCAGCATCTCTCCCGGCGCGCACCGCCGGAACGCAGGCGCGCGCGCAGCCACACACCCGGCCGGGGAGGAGCGGTCGCGCAGCCTCGACGGGGCGCGCGCCCGCGCGCTCGCTGGCGTCGCCCTCCCCAAAGCCCCCGCCCGCGCCGCCCTCACCTCGCGACGCCTCCCGCGCCGCGCGCCCGGCGCGGCCCCGCCCCTGCCCTCTTCTCCCGGGAGCCGGGCAAGGCGCGGGCGCCGGATCCTGAGGGAGGGGAACGAGCGCGCGGGGCCGCGTCCTCGCGCGCGCCCGAGCTCCCCCATTGGCTTCTGCCCCTCCCCCTTCTTCCTCCGCCTCTCCCACCCATTGGTTCCCACTCCTACTCCATTCCTTCTCACCTTTTCCCTTTTACCCATTGGCGTGAGTATTTTTCCTCAGCTTTCCCCTTTCTCCGTATTCTGCCCCTCCTGCGTCCCATCCTCCACGCACTAGAAGCTGCAGACCGTGCAGCTCGGAGCACCGTCGTTGCCGAGCCTTCCAGCTTTCTCCCTCGCCTGCTGTTCCGGTTTCTGGCCGTCACTGGGAGAGAACCACGGTGCTGCAAAGGAAGGAACCTAATGCTGTGTTAGGCGTTGCAGAACATCGCGTGGGCATTGACTGATCAATGCCCCTGTGGTCTCTGAGCATAAAAGAATTCGAGGGAGGGAAATATGCGCTCCGCCCAAGCTCGTTCGCAGGGACATGTTCGCGTGTGCTCCTGTGTGTGCTGCCTGGGGATCGCTCGCCAACTACAGACATCTCCCGCCCGGGACCTGATGCCAGGCTCACCCAGAAGGCAGAACTCCCTGGGAGCTAGAAGAATCCATCTCCACATGGACACAACACAGGGACGCAGGCAGGCCCTTGGTTCAGTCCGTTGTTAGGAAAGTTGAGCAAGATGCCGAGACCTGGGACAGTTTTTTAGGGTAGCCCAGAAGACCCTGCTCACACCGGCTACCGGCCCAACTTTAGGACCCATCGGTCACCTGGCTTTTATTATAGTGCCTTTAAATAGATTTAATATTTTTGGAGACTTCTGAAAACCTCATAAGTTCGGGGATACTGGGCTTTAGGTTTATTTCTCACGTGGGTATGGGTATGCAAAGGTGGAGAAAGAGGATGGGAGATACCACCGCCTTTACTTTTACCATTGAAAAAACTGAAGTCTGTGACTTTCCCAAGGTCATCAGAATCTGCCTTGCACCGAAATCTTAAAATAGTTGCCAGCAGCTGAAAGAATGAGCAAGGACATGAATCTACTACATTGTTAAATCCGAAAAAGAAAAATAAGTAAATAGATAAGAAAGAAAAGTAATTTGAGGGAAAATTTGTCTTTGGTGAAAGATATGTTCCTGCATTGAAAACAGGTTATCATCAGTAAAGTTAACATAAAAAGTCTTACATACAAATTATTCTTTATTTTTTTATGTTACATAAGGTGCTAAGTAAGCCAAAGTTGCTTTTACGTTGTAATGATGCAGCTGCTGCCATCCATAAGTACATTTGCGGTCTGTCAGTAAAGAATAACAAAGCTGCCTTTTGGTAAAAATCTGTTAAAAAATATTCATCAATAAATCTGCCACAGTATTCAGCAGGAGTTCTGCTGGGTTGTTTCATACCCTCGCCCCTCTCTTCTCCACATTTCTGAAAGGTAAACTTAGTAGACAGAAGCAGAACAGATATTCTTCATCTCTCTTTCTTACTCAGGAATTTTAAAAAGTCATGATTAAAATTACTCTACTCTCTCCCTTGTACCTGACTGGTACCAGATAGGTTAAGTAAGGTGTGTATGCACTTCTTTCTTTCAGTTACAAACGGCAGGGAAGAAGGATGCTAAGAAGATTTGCAATAAAAGTAAACCTGGAAGGAAGGAAAGAGAGAAGGAAATGGAGTTTGGGGGTAATGCATCCTAGTGTGCTATAAGGCCATAGGTACCCATACTACTTGTGTGGGTTGGAAAGTTCATGTATTTCTTGACCTGTGTACTGAAAGTCCTTAAAAATATGTGAAGCCAATTTCAAGTGTTCAGTGGAAATCAAGTACCATAGGGTATCTTCCCTAAGAACAATTTTAAAATGTAATTCCTAAATAATTAGGAATTTTGATACGGACATATCTCAACATAAATCAATGTCAAAATAATCAAGACTTTTAAAGGAAAAAGGGAGCTGTAATTTTCACCTTTCTTATATTAATATTTCCTTTAAAATAGGACATAATGGTGGCATTTAAAGAAAGACTTGAAATCTGATTTTCTCATAATCAAGATAGAAAATAATGATTTAAAAAAGCCAGTTTTCAAACAATTTTTGATCTATTTTCAGTCCTACATTATCCATCTTGATTACAGTTCTGGAACTTTAAGTCTTTGCTCCTTATTGGTACTAACAGTCTAAAGGTCTTTACAATACACATAATAAACCTTTGTGATTTTTACATCACCTGCTCACCTCAAAATAATAAAACACATGGTTTTCCGTATAAATGAAAATCTGAAAATAGGAATTGG